AATACTTTTGCTTCGGGAAGTCATCGCATAGAAAGTGGGAAACTCACTGATGATGAAGACGATGATTATGACGATGATTATGACGATGAACCTTCACCAAAAATATTGAAATTCGATGAAAGTGATATTGATGAGGCGCATAAAGACGTTAATGATCAAGAAGTATACCCAGGAGTAACAAAGGATAGTCCAAACAATCCATTTCTTGTACCGGCTAAAAATGATGATGCATCAGGTGAAGGTAATGATGCACCGAGTGAAGATGATACACCTGATGCATCCTATTCATCCTACCATCCTGAATCAAGTGAATCAGATAATAGCGTTGAATCTGAACAAAAAGAAAAAACCGAATTTCAATATGAATGGTTTGTTGGACCCGGCATAAAAGAGTCAAAATTGAATGAAAATGGAAATAAGGTAATGTTTAAACTCTTAATTTCAATTATATGTTAAAATTTCTGATATTTAATTTTCTTGCATTACATAGTGGACCGTTGGTATAATCGATGTTTCGAATTTGCTATTGGAGTATCGTAATATATCTATCAAAAAAGCATCGGAGCAAAAAATAGAAAATGCTGTTGAAATGCTGTAAGTGTTTTAGATCTTTAATGTTTTTTTAACTCACGATTCTTTGTAATAATTATTATAGTTCTCTTAATCATATATTTCTATTGGATGAGAATTTATCTACTGGGGTCTCAGAAATGATTGACACTGCATCATTGAAAGCAATTTTCGAAAATATCAGAAGTGAATATACTCCATATCATCTTTCAGACAAGGACATTATACGATGTCATGAGATTTCCAAGGCAAGATTTTCATTAATGATTTTAATATGATAATCTTTTTTGACTAATGTTACATTAATTCAAACAGATTGCAAATAAAAACTTCCAAGGCTGTAAGTCATTACTTAGGAAATGGCAGAAGGAAGTTGATGAAAATGATAATGATTTAGTCTTAGAAGTTTTTGAATCGATGTAAGTTTACGAAATCCGAATATATTGTATTACGCAAGTTTATTAATTTTTATTTTTGTAGTTTCAAGTATTTTCCACACAACACAAACCGAGCAGATGCACGAGAAGATTCATTCGTCCATGAGGTCTTTGCACCAATAATTTTACCTTTTTTTGTAAATAGTGATCTAATGTGTGAATGGTTTGTATATAATATTAATGGATTTTTATACGCATTAAAATAATAATTAGATATATAAATGAATTATTTTTAGGTCCTCAGATGTGTTGGATTCATCAACCCACAGAAAACGTAAATTTGATCCTATTCTCCAGGGAAGAAAAGCAGACTTTTCTGCTTACGCACAAACTAAAGGCAACAGATACTATCTATTTGTCTCCGAAATAAAGTCCGCCAGATATATTTCATCAAAGAAAATTAATTTTGTGGATTGCGATTTAGTAAAAATTGGAAATGAAATGAAGGATATGCTTGATAAGTGCATTGAAGATGGTGTGAAAACCAAAGATTTGGCTGTTTGTAGCATACTTGTCGAAGGTAAATATGTATTAGTGATCTTTAATATATATCCTTATTTACCTTTCCTTTTATAATCAGGTTTCCAGTGCAGTATGTTTGTAATGGACCTGAAGTTTGACGCAATATACCGAATGATACTCCTGGGAAAGTTTTTCCTCCCACAAAATATTCATAACCTTAATGTACTTTCTATGGCAATAGAAGAACTAATGCAGATAAAGGTCAGTATAGAATATTTATGATATTTACCAGATGTTATATCGTATACTAATTTTTTTTTGTCTTTATACAAAGAATATTATTTCTAATTCTGCTAAGCTTTGCTTTCAGTGTAATAAAGACCCAAGTATCACATCTACTATACTCACTACACCTATACGCAATAAAATGACACGACCATCCTTTCACACTCCAATAAAGGTCCCAATTAATAAAATTTCCTAATTATAAAACAAACTATGCAATGTTAATTTCAATATCATGTTAGTAGTATTAATGCACTTATGCTATAAATTTATTCAATGATCTGATTTTTTCCTTTACATGATCATTACTCATATATCAATGAATAAAATTGTCAGTAAGTGCAATATGCATACTATTAATATTTCTTGCGGTTTAGTCGTGTGATTTGACAACGCCATTGCCTAAATTTTAATACTTTAGTTATACATTTTAAATAAATAATAAGATATATACAATCTATCGCTAAAACATGCAGTCTGAAATTGATTTACTGAAACAACGAATTTCTGAGCTTGAAACCGAAAAGGCTAAGCTCGAAGCCAAGAATGCCGAGCTTTTAAAACAGGTTATGGAAGAGAGCGCCAAACGCCAAGCTGAGAATGTTGAGCTCAAAGCCAGGATCGCCAAATTGGAACAGACCGCAGAAGAAAATACTGAGCTTAAAGATAGAATCACGAAATTGGAACAGAAACAGTTCAATTCAATTTTAATTTAAAATAAAATTGTTAAAAACTTGATTCAAATCAGATTCAATCAATTTATATAGATCAGTATTATTTCGATATCAGTTTTATACTAGTTTGATATTTTTCAAAGTTCTAATCACAACTAATATATAATGATAATCAATTATAGATTATTATTTATTATATTGCAATAGATAAAATAAATTTTGGATGATAAAAAAATTTTTATTACTAAAGCAAAGTTTGTTTTTTTTGTTAATTCATTTTTTTATTATTATTTACAAAAATAATAAATGTTTTCATTTCAAAATACAAATGATTCTTTTATACTTGATAGTAATACTAATCAAGAATCAGAAAATATTAATAACAAAATATATGATGATATTAGTATATCTAATGAGAACAAAAAAACAAAAAGTAAAATATGAATATATTATACTTGAAATAATATAAAATTAAAAGCAAAAATGTAATTATTGTGGATAAGTAATTTAAATTTGATTATTAAAAAATTATAAAAATAAAATTTAATATTTTTTATTTATTTAAACAGAAATTTTTATGTATATGTTGATAGTAGTACTTTTAATCTTCATAAACATTTAAAAACTTGACATCCAAATAAAATTACAAAATCAATAAAAAAAACTGGACTAATTGAACAATGGTTAAATCAAAAAACTATATTATAGGTATATTATTTTTTATATTTGTATTTTTAATTTTTTTTTTTTTTTACACCTAATCAGGCCATATTGCCAAGTTTATTTGCATTTATTGCCAGGTAGAGTTTACCCAAGATACAATTTGAATTTATCTGAAGTACAAATATTAGATACATGAAGTACCAATCATATCTATACTAAAGGTTAACTTATTTTATCATATATGGTATATCCATTAATGGCCACTGGCCTCTAGATGTGATTAAGGGAAATAAAAAAAGTTGCTCTATCTTGATCCATATTCCTTGTGGATCTCAATATTATCACCAGCCCTTTATCAAAACTGTTTATTCCAACTTAACCTTTGTGATCCTAAGATATAAAAATTTTTATTTTTTTGAGAAGGTAAAAGAGAAAGATAAAGGGAAAAGGAAAAAAGTTTGCACTGGTAAAATAAAAACCCCACCAAAACCAATCACTAGCCTAATGAGAGTCTTGACTTTAAAAAGAAAAAAAACCAGCATAAGAGAGAAGGGGAAGACTTTCAAATACTTTTTATCAAGAGGACACCTTAATACCTTACTCTTTCACTTTATTTAATTACATCATCGGTTATAATATGGTATAACATGGGGCACATGTGGGTACATGTCTTGTTTACATTTCTTTTACTTGTTGATCAATCAATTCAGGATTTTAACCAATCACCATCCAGAGTTTTCGATGTAACAAAAAATTCAGGATCAAACTGAGGTAGGCAAAATTCTTCAGAAAAATCAAGAAAAATTGAATACACTCAAAAGTGTCAACTATCAGACATATATAAATAGTGAAAAAGGTTCATATATCTGGATTTTTTCAGCTTATCCACCTGCCTAGACCAAAAGAGTTTACTTATAGTGAATCCAAGATTCTTATGTTACTTGGGGATGTATTCACTGGTTGGCCCAACTAGCTTATTTATCCATCTCAAACAAAAGGTATTTGCTTATAGTGGATTCAAGATTCTTATGGATCTTAGAAAATGCATTTGCTAGTGGTTCACTTTTTGAAGTTTCTAACCTAAGAAGAAAGTAGTGGAGGGTATTTTTCTACAGGTTTCTTCTTCCCAGTAAGGTGTTCTTGCCATAGATCAAATGAGTAAAGTTTTGTTATTTTGTTACTAAAATATCCAATGTTTTTTGAAGAAGAAAAAGTAAACAAGTGGAGAAGGCACCTGCCTTCAGGGAGTAATGTTTTTAAGGAAAGTGTATAGACTTTATTATCAAAAATAAAAGAATATTTTTAAAAACATCTGTTTTTTGGGTTGGCAAGAGGATTAGTGGAAAAAATCCATTAAAGAATAATATATATATTTATATTTTTAATAACAAATATTTATTAAATATATAAATTATTATTATAACTTTTTTCATCAAAAATATTTCAAAATTTATTACTTCGCTGGATTATTTGTTCTGATCAACCTTTTACAAAAGTTGAAAATTTGGATTTACAATATCTTTTTTGATTTCTCAAATTAGAAGTTAATATTCCTTTAGCAGATACAATTAAAAATAATATTATAAAAATTTATAAAGAAAAAAAAACACAATTAAAAGAAATATTACAGATATATTAATAATATATTTTATAATTTTTTATAAAAAATTTTTTAATTATTATTTTATTATAAAAGAATATTTCAGATTATATTTCTTTTACTCTCGATACTTGGACTTCTCCAAATATATTATCTTTTCTTGATATTCCATCTTATTGGAGTGATAATAATAGGAATTCATAACAAATCTTGATATATTCTAAA